CAGCAGGACACCCAGGACCGAGCTGGGGGCTGGCAGGCCAGGCTCTGGCCACAGCTGCCTCCACCAACAAATTTTAGCAGGCTCTCACCCCACCACCCGACTTAAAATCATGATCATCAGAGCCTCAGGGCGGGCAGAAATCATCAGTCCAACCCCGTGTCCTCCACATTAGTGGATGTGCCCCAGAGAGAACGAAGGCCTCGCCCAAGGTCACTGACACTGGGGCAGGGCCTCCTAATTGGCTCGGCCCAGCACTGAGTCCTCTATATACTATAAGCCAGGCCCCCGGACCCCTGACTCTCGGACCCCCACCCCCACGCTGGTCAATCCTCCCTCGGCAGGGGCTGCAGACTGGAGGACTCCTGGAGCAGGACCAGGAACCCCAGATTAGGCTGCGCTAGTCTCGATGTCACCTTCTCACAGGGCCTGCTGGCGCGTGGCTCGGGGCTTCCCGTCTACAGGGGAGACAAGACAGACCAACACACCACACACGTGTAGAAAGACATATGGATACATGCGAATATGAAAAGGTACCACGTCCCCTCCATTCCAAGGCATGCCACACATGGCTCAGTGAACATGCTCAGGGGGCCTGCCCACAATGCAGGACATGCAGCCCTCGCCTGCCCCACCCCCCACCGCCCACATGCTGCACACAGGCATGCCCACACCCATCCATGCAAATGCTCATGCTCATTGTGGGGTGCACCAGGAACTCAGGGCACAGGCTCAAAGCAAATGAGGAAGGAGATAGATGGGAGATGAAGACTCCTCCCTGCTCCCAGGGGGTGTCTCTGTAGGCTGGACCCAGTAGGAAGTGACCGTGCCTGCAGAGATCCATCCTTGGCCCTCTAGACAAATCAGTAGAGAGACTCAGACCTGGCCTCCTGCCCAGGAATCCCAAGGCCTGTTTCCTGGGTAGAGGTTTGGGCTCCAAGGGCAGCCAGCCCTACAGACGTTTAAGCAGGGGAGAGGCCCCATCCTGGGCTGGTGTTGGCTGCTGTGGAAGGAGGCCTGCACTGGGCATTAGCCCAGAGCTCCTGGAGTCCGAGGTGGAGAGGCCTGGGCTCTTTGCAGCCAACATGCTAGTGCTGTGCCAGCTCCAGAGACCCTAGTCCCCTCCTTCCACGCTCAGAGCAAGAACTAAGGACAGTAGCCTGGGTTACAGGAGATTCAGCCAAGGACACAGTGCGCTGGACCTTCCCGCATGCGGGGAGAGAAGCAGTGACCAAGCCCTGCTCCATACCAGACCCCGTGCCAACCACATTACGTACATTACGCCATTGACTCCTCCCAACAACCCTATGAGGAAGTGCTGTGATTAGTCCCTTTACAGATGAGGAACCCGAGAGGGAACGGACTGCCCAAGTCCCAGCCCCAGTGTGGCAGGGCCAACACCTGAACCAGGCCAACACCAGATGCTGAGGGGCTGGGTCTCAAACCCCAGAGCCCCTGCCCAGGGCACCACCCGTTCCCACGTCAGGGCCTCTGGGGATCCCGGTCATCCCGGCCAGCGGCGGGGCTGCGTCCTGAGTGGACAACGGCGCTACTCAGGTGGCCTGTTTCCTGGCTGTGACACAGACGTGGTGTGTTCCCTGGAGGGCTCGGACATTGCCAGCATTGTCTGCCCAGAGGTGTCAGGTACCAGGCACAGGAGCCGCCGACACCCCACCTGTCACCTGAGCTGCTCGCCCCAGCTTGGCGATGCATCCCACCCATCATGCCCCAACCGCCCAGGCGGGGCCTCCTGGAACTGCAGGGCCGGCTTCCGGAGGAGGAACAGTGAGACAGGGATTGAAGGGACAATAGTGCTACTCCACACTTGCCAGGAAGGCCAATGGCTCACCACCTCCTGGGCACAGGAGGGCTTCAACTAGGAGCAGCTTGGGAGGGGCCGATAGTCCTTGCTCGTGGGTGGACGAGGGCTTCAAAGATCACGGGTCACTGACTGAACACTTCTGTGGCCAGGTGATGGTGCTGAGTGCTTTTATGTGCCTTGGCCCATTACTTCAAATAAAAATCCTTCAAGGCAGGATTTTTTTTTATCACATTTGGGTCCAAGGTCACATAGCTGCACGTCCAACAGACCCTGGCTTCTAGCCGCAGCCAGCCTGGCTTCACCGGCCATCCTCCCACCACCACTCTGGCTTTTGGGAGGATGCTGTGTTTTCAGGAGGACTTCTCAGCAGAGGCAGGACTCAGAGCTGAGTCAGGGCCTCGCTCTTCCAAGCCAGCTCTGGTGAGCATTGCTAAGGAGCTCAGAAAGTCCAGGTGGAGCTCTAGGCCCAGGTCCTGGGAGGCGGGCACGATGCCTGCTTTGCCCTGGAGCTGCGTGTGGCCTTGGTACAATGAGGGCTTTGTTGTTGCTGTCCCTGCTCCTACCTTGCTTGGCAACCCCACGCCTCCCTCCTCCCTCCTCCCTCTTCCTTCCTCTCTGGCCAGGGGGGTGGGGGTGGGAAGGGGATGGCATTTGTACCTGGTTGGAGCCGACAGTCTCCTGGGAGGCCAAAGCCAGCCATTCATCTGGGACAGAGGTGGAAGTGGCATTTCCCCTGCTGGGACGGGACCTTGCAGGCTGGGGTCCCTCTGGGAGGGCAGAAGACACCCAGGTCCAAAGGGAGTTGCCTCCCCAGGATCTAGCCCAGAAGTGTCAGTGAGCACCCTGGGCTCTCTCAGGTCCTCCCTCCCCTCTGGGCCCCAGAGAGGAGGCAGATTGCCATGGCGTTTGTCTCCATGCCACCTGTTCGGCCTGGAGTCCCGCAGGCCTGTCCCCAGGTAGCCGCTTGGAATGGAAGGTGGAAAGGAAACCCCTAGCCGTGGGGAGCTGGGCTGACAGTTGCTTATCACCTCCACCCCAGGTTAAGCCCAGCCCCATTTCCCCATCCTGCCCACACCATGGCAACCCTGTTGCATCTACCCCTTTGATTAGTGCCTCACACACCGAACAGTGGGGGTTCAGGAGATATAGCAGGATCCAGGGAACAGGAGATGGAAGGAGTCAGAAATAGTCAAAGATATCTGGGCTCAAATCCCAGCTCTGTCACCCTCCAGCTGCATGCAGTGGGCGAGTCACACCACTTCTCTGAGCCTTAGCTTCCCCATCTGTAAGTGGGGCTGTAACAGAATGCACCTCACGTGGTTACTGTGAGAATAACACAGGATCATGCATGCACAGGGCTTAGCCCAGTGCCGACCACACAATAAACACTTGAAAATGGGAACTCCCAGGATTTGGGCACTAGATAATTGCAATGCAATGTGAGCTTCAAAACAGAAAGACTCAAGGCATAATAGTGGCTTCAGAAGGGTCAGGGAAAGCGTCTCCAAAAGGAAATTTACACTAGGTCTTAAAGGGTGAATAAGAGGTCACCAGGCAGAGAAAGTGAATGGGAGGGACGGAGGAGCGTGGGCAAAAGCCCTGAGTAATTCAATAGCATGGCTGCTCAGGAAACTAGGGGGCCTAGTGGAGGCAGAGGCACAGTGGGCCTGAGGCTGTACAGGAAGGTGGGGCCAGGCCACACCGAGCCACAAAAGCCAGGATCTCGTCCTGTGAGCAACAGGGAGCAATGGAAGGGCCTTAAAAGGGGGACGGACACAATCAGACTTGCGTTTTAGAAAGCCCCTGCGTAGGGGGCCTTTGTGGACTATAGCTGGAAAGGGACAAGAATAGAGGCAGAGAGACCAGTTAGGAGGTTATCAAGAAATTAGAAGGGCCTGGGTCAGGGCGGCAGCGGGAGCAATGGAGAAAGGGGCCTGGAGCCTTCTCAAAATTCATCAGAGGCCCCCGATTAAGTAAAAATTAGGGCAAAACTCTTGATCCTGGCATTCAAGGCCCTCTTCTCTAGACCCTTTCCAACCTGCTCTCAGCTGCCTGCTGACCCCAGAGGAAAGCCCTGTTCGTTGCTCCCACATCTTTGCAAAGGCTGTTTGCCCAGCCGACAGCACCTGCCCTGCCCTCATGCACACGTCACACTTTCTGTAAGGCTCTGCCCTACAGGACTTTCCTCTTGGGACTTCACCCTTCACTTACTCTCTTGACCACTTAGCGTGCCATGCCTTAGGCTGAAACTTAGGGAACACCCCCCTCTGGGGAATTGCATAAAAATAAACACAATCAACACACAACCGTTAGAAACGCAATGAGTTAAACAGGCACATTTGATAGACCAAGGGGTTGGATTAGATGATCTCAAAGACACCTCTGGATCCAACATTCTCTGATTCTAGGGCTGTAAATGAAATAGAGTTCTAATTGATGCTTTCTTCCCTTTCAATGACTAGGACTCTTGGACTTCAGTTTCTCCATCTGTAAAACTAGGATGCTGCATTCTTCAAAGAGACACTATGGCATTTTGCTCAATCAGCAAGTCATGGGGGAGAAACAAGGCACTAGGTTAATCTAATATTCTAGCTAAGTGAAAGTCCCTGTATGCACTATAAATTATCTTTTTTCCCCCCAAAGAATTAGCCATCAATAAGAGAAGAAATCTATCCTAAAATCCAAAGGAACAGAACAATCTGTGTCTGATGACTCAAGCCTCTCACAATTGTGGAAAGCAGAGCAATGCAACCAATAGAACAGAACTTGGGAGGAA